GTAATTTTGGTTCCTGTAAGCAAACATCAACAGGGGAAAACTGGGAGAGTAACATCTGAAGCTCACCCCGATTACCCCTGAGGCCGCGTATATTCCACTGTAAATAGGTCATGATTGGCAATGATAAAGATACCTGAAATCCGCAGGTAAGGGTTCCTACGTACTAGAGGGGTTAGAAAAGTCCACATGCGGAGGCAGTGGAAAACGTTCAAGCAGCGAAGGAACGGTGCGCTGTGAAGAAAGGAGTTGCGCAGATGGAGTAGAGGAGAGAGAAGGAGCGGAGGGTGGATCAGTGTCCATTGATGGTTTGGTCTCTGCAATATATTCAGAGATTGCTTCAAGTGTTTAAGAATTCAGAGACGTCGTATGGGAGACAATATTGGAAATGGTAGGGAGAGGATGAGTAAAGATTGGAACTGTAATGGACCGTACCAAGGTAGGGGGGGGGGGGCGAAAGGGTGGAGGGAACTGGAGAAGCGTGGAAGGGGACAGAAGAGGCAGAAACCTGGGAGGTCGCAGAAGAGGAAGAAACTTGGGAGGGAACAGGGGAGGAAGGTACAGTACGAGGAGGAGGGTGAACCTCTACACTTGTAACAGAGCCAGTGAGAGGGGGAGAACCAGGTACAGAGACAGGGAAGGGAAAATGAGGAGGTGGAAGATGGGTAGGAGGTGTTAACTGACCTTTTTTTGACTTTTGAGAAGTAGAGGGACAATTGGGAGGAGGTGTCATACGAGATCTCGTCACTACTGAGGCTTGTGAGAGAGAACATGAAGAAGCGAGATCAGACTGAGACGTTGAAGTAGGGACGTCTGAGCAAAGGAATTAGCTACAGGAGTGACTATGGGAGAGGTAACCACAGAGGTGGGTGCAGGAGATGGGATACCAGAAGTGGGGGGACGTTTTGAAACACGGGAATAAGAAACACGAGGTAGTCTCCCTTGGAGGCGGAGATGAGAAACTGCCATGGCATAAGGGAGACCTTCTGCCTCTTTGAGGTAACGGATTTCCCGCTCGTTTAAGTAGACTTGACAACGGCGAGAGTACGAAGGGTGAGCCTCATGACAATTAAGGCAAGAGGGAGGTCGATTGCAAGACGTATTAGAATGGTCATCGGCACCACAGACTGGGCATTCGGCGATAGATCTGCAATATTTCGCTGGATGGCCAAATCGACAGCAATTTCTACACTGTTGCGGTGTAGGGATCACCTTTCGAACTTGTAACCGATGTCCTGCTACATAAACTGAGGATGGGAGTTCACGGCTGTCAAAAGTTAAACGAGCCACATTGCTAGGGTATCGTTTCCGCCCGCGGGCAGGAAGAACGTAAGTGTCTACCTTGAGGATTGGGAGATCTTGGAGTTCCAGCTGTTCAAGAATGTCAGTGCCACATGTCTGGAAATTTTGTTGAACTATGGTATGGGGTAGAATGACGGTACCACTACAAGAATTGAGGGAATGATGCTTTTCAATAGTTACAGGAACAGTATCGATATGGGAAAGACGAGAAAGCTCATGAGCCTGGGTAGCATTCTGTACGGTGACGATGCGCGTACTGCTCTTAAGAGCATGAAAAGAAATATCTTTACCAACATGGCGTAGAAGTGCCTTGCCAATACTGTGGTCAGAAAGATAGGCAGTAGAGGAAGTTGGTCGTAAAGTGAAGAATTTAGTCCATTGTGCAGTTTGAAACTGAGCGTGGAAAGGTAGTGAAGGACGTGTCGATCTTTTCTGAGAAGAACGAGAAGGTGGAGAAGTATCATCAGCAGGTAATTGTCGTTGGCGTTTAGGCGTGGGACCAGAGTTGGTCCGACATGGAACGGGCCGGCGATTTGAAAATTGCCACACCGTAGAGGGAGAGGCTGGAAGCATAGTCAGAGGAGAGCGAAGGTCAGATAAATCGAAGGAGTCAGTCGAGGCCTCAGTACCTGAAGCGGGTGAGGAAACAGTACCGGCAAGAGGTACAGAGGCATGAGGAGTGTCCGAAGAGTGGTCCAAAGACGAGGCGGGGTCAGAACGGGGTGCAGTATCAAGAAGGGGCCCGGGGGTAGCAGGTTCATGGACTAGGGCTGCCATGGTTAGGTTACTTCTTTCTTTTTGTTTTTAAGAAAAAAAAGAAAGAAGAAAAGAAAATAAAAATAAAAAAAGAATAAAAAAAAGGAGGGGGGACCGGGGAGGGATAGTTCCTAGGAGGAATGAAAGGGCCAGAAATCTCCCTCCGCACCCAAGAGGACCTCAGCACCGCAAGTAGCGCAGATGCAGCATGGAACCCGTTTCCATACCCTACCCATCATGCCAGTAAACCGGCAATCCGGGATAGCAACCTCACATCTGCCGAGCTACCTCGGTGGACAAAAGAGAGGGCGGCCGGAAATCCGCCACAAAGCATACCTCCTTCGGCCACCACCCCCGGAATCCGAAAGGTGGCTTCCAGAGATACACCCGTCGCCCGAGAGACACCCAAAGCCACCCTCCGGGATACCGGAGAGGGATCAGGATATCCCCAGGCAATCCAGATTCCACGGCAAACTACGCCACCGCCAAGAACCTCAACGGAATGGGATGGACCCCAGTACCCTTTCCCTACCTAGGAACTAGCGTGCCTGTGGGAAAAAAAAAAAAAAAAAAAACCAAAGGCCAAAAAGGAAGGGCAAAAGGAAGGGGTGGGGAGGAGGAGGAGGAAAGGAAAAAGGGGAGGATGGGATAGGGAATGGGGGATTGGGGGAGTAATTAGGTTCGGTCTGAGGAAGTAGACCGACAGGTCTAATTCCTCAGACCAAGAGCCTCTTCACCACGCCAAGGAGCCCCCCTTGAAGAGGTGCATGGGTCATGAGAGACATTTTCCTTGACTGGTTCAATGAAGTGTTTGGCCACAGTGTGAAAAAATACCTCCTGGAAAATAAATTGGAACTCAAGTGCCTCCTGGTAATGGACAATGCTCCTGCTCATCCTCCAGACTTGGAAGAGCAAATGGTGCAGGAGTTTTGTTTTATGAAAGAAGTTCTTGCCCCCTAATACCACTCCTCTCCTTCAGCCCAAGGACCAGCAGGTCATTTCAAACTTCAAAAAACTGTACACCAAAGCAGTGTTTCAAAGGTGCTTTGAAGTACAATAAGGCACCTAAACTACTGGGAACGGCTGAAGGTCCTTGATCTGTATTCGCTCGAACGTAGGCGAGAGAGATACATGATAATATACACTTGGAAGGCCCTGGAGGGATTGGTACCAAACCTGCATATGAAAATCACTTCCTATGAAAGTAAAAGACTCGGCAGGAGATGGAACATTTCCCCGATGAAAAACAGGGGTGCCACGAGTACTTTGAGAGAGAACACAATAAGTGTCCGGGGCCCAAAACTGTTCAATTGCCTCCCAGCATACATAAGGGGGATTACCAATAGACCCCTGGCTGTTTTCAAGAAGGCACTGGACAGGCACCTGTGGTTCGTACGTCAGCTTGCGTGCGGCCAGCAGTAACAGCCTGGTTGATCAGACTGAGCCACCACGAGGCCTGGTCTCAGACCGGGCCGCAGGGGTGTTGACCCCCGAACCCTCTCCAGGTGAACTCCAGGTGACCTCAGACAATGAAATGACCTTAAGAAGAGTTCTGGAAAGATCACTTCAATATCCTCCATTGCATAAACCTTACAGGTAAGGCTCGGGAGGGAGTGACTTCCAGGGGGTTGGACATGAGTTTCGAGGATGTGGAAGAGTTGCTGGAGGACCACTACAGAGCTGCAAGACCTGCATCTGCAACAGCAATAGACCATAGCTCAGGAAATTGCTTTAGAGGAGGAGGAAGAGAGATGGAGGAAGGTGCCTTCTTCAAAGATTAAGGACATTTGTGCAATGTGGACAAAGGTGCAAACATTTATGGATGAACTTCACCCTGACAAAGCTGTTGCCGGCCGTACTGGCAACATGTACAATGACAATCTTGTGTCCCATTTTAGGGATGTTTTAAAGAAACACCAGAAACAGTTCTCTGGACAGATATTTTGTGCAACAGGATAAAAATATTATGGGGACCAGCTTGAGAGTCCAGTGACTCTCAAGCTGGTCTCATTGCCATTAAAAAACAAAGAAGGGAATGAACCCCAGTACACTATTGTTTGGAAGGGGATTCCCCTTTCAAACAATAGTGTACCTTTATCCTCTCTCCTCCTCCCATCTTCCATCTACCCAAAAGTCTTCATTAAGGTAAGTGTAATATTATTATTTTATATATGTATGTACTTGATTTCTCATTGTTTTCTGTATGTAAATCTTCATTTAATTTAAAAAAAAATGTTTTTTTATTTTTTGGGTGTCTGTAACAGATTAATTGTATTTCCATTATTTCTTATGGGGAAAATGGTTTCGCCATTCATGAATTTCGATTTTCAGCAGACTCTCTGGAACGGATTAATCACGAAAAACAAGGGTTCACTGTATAGCGAAATGTTTGGATGAATGAGCATAAGTTTCCTGACTCGCCCAGAGACACAGACAGACTGACTCACGAGCTGTGGGCGTGCGGGTGGACACGTCCAATACGGCCGATGAGCGAAATAATAGCCAATAACAGGAATAAAATTTCGGCCAAAAAAAGGGCGATAACCAGGTTGGCCGATATCCGGAACAGCCAATAACCAAGGGTCCACTGTATTTCTTTATATTTTAATAACTTTAATACAGTAAATAATTTATTACTTTTTTTTTTTCAACAAGTCGGCTGTCTCCCACTGAGGCAGGGCGACCCAAAAAGAAAGAAAATCCCCAAAAAGAAAATATTTTCATCATCATTCAACACTTCCACCTCACTCACACATAATCACTGTTTTTGCAGAGGTGCTCAGAACACAACAGTTTAGAAGCATATACGTATAAAGATACACAACATATCCCTCCAAACTGCTAATATCCCAAAACCCCTCCTTTAGAGTGCAGGCATTGTACGTCATTTATCATAAACCAAGCCTGTGACTTGTAGTCAATATTAAGATGTACATTCTTATTACCTGACTGAGGTTGGGCTGGCTGCCCAGCAAATGGAGGCTGAGAATACCCTCCATCAGGATCTGTGGCATCTGGGTAACTATTGTATCCTCCCATGTTGGTAGGATCGGCCTCATAACTTGGGGCAAAGGCTTGGTCTGCTCCCTGCCTGTACCTCAAGAATGCCAGGTAAGCAGCACCTGCCTAGAAAGAAAAAAGCTCTTATACATAATTAAATACTGGTGGCAATCTTGTCTTGTGCCCTGGTGAACACACAATAATGCCTAATAAATATGAAGATCAACACAAATAATCTGCAGAATACATGGCACAGTTTTACAGACCAAATATGGAAGACAAAACACCACAAATTTACCTATGCTCCTGTAGCTATAGATAGATCCTAGAATCACACCAACTCAAATTTCAAATTTTTGTTATTACTGGTAGGTAGGTAATAGATGACCAATGTATTAAAATTACAAGAAAATAATAATAATAATTCAGTAAAATCTCTCATTAATGAAATTCTGTAATATTGGACACAAAAATAGCCCGACAAACCTTGGAAGCATCGGGCAAAATGGGAAAAAGTCTACAAATCCAAATTTTGTTTGTTAATGCCTTAGGAATACGTATGAGAGTATGGCGGTACAAACACTTATATGGGTGTGATTAATAGGTTGTGAATGTTGCAGCGAGGAAGCAGCTGGACAGAGTGGAGATGTTATGCCTTAGGGGATGTGTGCTGTGAACATTATGCAACGAATTCACAGTTTGGAGATTAGGAGGAGGTGCAAGGCTACTAAAAGTATTATCCAGAGGGATGAGTTGTTTGGAGCAAAACAGGATGACTTGGAAGGTGCACAAATCTGTAGTGGAGGGAAAGCAGGGTAAGGATCATCCTAGGAATCTCCCAAAAGCAAAGTGTCATCAGCAAAGAGCAACTGTGAAAACACCCACTTTGTGCTAGATTCTTTATCTTTTAACCCCACACTTCTTGCCAACACCTGAGCATTCACTATTCATTAATGTTTTTAACCCCTTGACTGTCGCAACCCCCAATCCTGAGGTGTCTCCTGGTGTCGCAAAATTTCAAAAAAAAAAAAAAAAAAAAAAAAATTCTTATGAAATGATCTTTCCCGATTGTAATGGCACCAAAACAAAAATGAAACTTGATGGAAAACTGATGGAATCACGCTCTCGCGAAGTTAGCAACATCGGCGATATTTACAAATCGGCGATTTCGCCCACTTTGAGCCCTATTTTCGGCTAATTCCATTGTACCAGTCGACCAAACTCATAGCTATTTCTTTAGAACTCCATTTTACTATCGATTGAGTACAAGAAAGTGCCCATTTACTGATTTCAACTATCCAATAACATGGTCAGAGATTTGCAATTTGGCCAATTTCACAAAAATTAAAAAATATAACAATTTTAAAATAAGGTCCAAAATGAACAAAGCAAAATGAACATTTTCTTTGTTCATCAGTCACATCTCCTGGCCCCTATGATATTACTCTTGCTTTCTATTTTGAATTTTTATTCAAACAAAAAATAGAAGATTTACCGTTATGCAGACTACTGCAATACTGTAATAATTGTACAAATAATGTCAACCCATTCATGACTGTACATTAGAATGGCTAGTTGGACATTTATTGGACAATGACATCATTTGTTTACTTTTGAACATCGGCAAAAATCAAACATTTCCCCTAATTTGAGCTCCATTTCCAGGTTCTTTTTATAGTAAAACCAATCAAAATCACCTCTATTTCTATAATATGTTTACCATTCTACCAAATGAGACAAAGAAAATGAGAATATAACCATAAATACTATAGGAAAATAGACCACAAAGTCGGCATTTTAATTAAAAAAGAAACGGTTGGAGTTTTTTTTTCTCATTATGCACTGCGTGCTCCAGGATTTTTTTTATATGGTGCACACTGACCACATAGACCCATTCTCTCACATGTGGGCCTACCAGCTTTCTCCTGCTTGATTTGAAGCCGCTAGAATTTATGAGTATACTATATAAGTCAAACACGGTACCTCGCAAGACGTATATATACGACCGAAACAGTCAAAGGGTTAATAATTATTAGTATGTGGTTTTTGCACTGTAAAGGTTTTAAACAGATGGCTTAGGCATGAAATCTTCTGTTCATATTTATACGGCCTAGGGAAAGACAAATGCTGACCCTGGCTCAATAAAGAATATGTTGAAGTGGTCCTCTTAACCTCAACACACAACTGGCACGAAGTCATCAGCTGATATAACAAATGACTCGCACTGTCTACTACTCAGTACTCACACCTATCTCTAAACACTTCTTTATCAATAAGCAAGAGAACCATGAACTGAACCCTTTGAGGGTCCGTGCCGTAGATCTACGGCTTTACGTTGAGGGTCCAAACAGTAGATCTACATCATGAGCTCAGCTCACTCTGATAAGCTGCGAGTGGTAAATTTTGGCCTAGATATGAGAGAATACATCTATATGGTATGTGTGCACCACATAAAACAAACCCTGCAGCACATAGTGCATAATGAGAGAAAAAACTGAGACTGTAATTTTCGATTAAAACAGCAACTTTGCAGCGTTTTTTCGTATATTTTTTATAGTTGTGTATTTGCGATTTCTTGGTCTCATTTGATAGAATGGAAGATATATTACAGAAATAGAGATGATTTTGATTGGTTTTAGTACTGGATATGGCTTGAAACTGAGCTCAAAGTAGTGGAAATGTTAAATTTTTGCCAATGTTCAAGAGTAAACAAATGACCTCACACGTCTAATACATGCCTGCTGGTGTAGACGGTCTAACATACGTTCACAAATGTGGTGATATTATTTATACAATTATTACAATATTGCATAACAGTAAATCTTCTATTTTTTGGTTTGAATAAAAATTCATTATGTGAATAAAAAATCAAAATGGAATTCATTAGTAAAGCCTGAAAACATAACTAATGAACAGAGGAAATGTTAGTTTAGTGCCAGGAATGCATGCATTGTTTATTCTGGACCCTATTTTGAAACTGAAATATTTTGAACTTTGCATTAAATTGGCTAAATTACCAATTTCTGATCACTTTATTTTGTGGTTGAAATAGTTGACTTGGCGAATTCTTGTGCTCAATCGATAGAATAGAAGTAATACTAGTGAAATAGCTAAGAATCTGGTCGACTGGAATAATGTAATTAGCCTAAAATGGGAGTCAAAGTCGGCAAAATCGCCGATTCGTAAGTATCGCTGACATCAAAATTCGCGAGAGCATAATTTCATCAATTTTCATACTTTTTGTTTTATTACCTTCAGAAAAAGATTCTCTTAACATTTCATAAGGAAAAATAACAAAATTATTTTTTGAAAATTCTTGGACACTGGTGCACACTATGAAATTTGGCCTCTGGACCCTGAAAGGGTTAAGGAAGGATAAATTTCTTACCTGTCACTATTACAAACAGGAAAATTGTATACTGAAATGCATAAATGGTATCAGCTAATAAAACAAAGGATCACAACCATCTACTCGAATGAACTCAGTCACTGTCTCCAAACAATTATACATACATTGAATATACAGTGGTCCCTCGTTTATCATAATTAATCTGTTCCTGGAGGTGTTACTATTATCGAAATCTATGATTTTCGAATCAATTTTCCCCATAAGAAATAATTAAATAATTAATCTGTTCCTGACACCCAGAAGTATCAAAACAAAAAAATTTTTTACATGAAATATAGATGTAGTACATAAACAATACAATGGGACATGATGAATGAAACATTAACAGCATAACACTTACCTTTATTGGCGATTCTTCTTAGTGTATGGAAGACTGGAGGAGGAGAGAGATTGGATTATTTACAGTTTGGAAGGGGAATCCCCTTCCATCAACACCAAGTACCAATTGCTTTTCTGGGTTACTTCTCTTCTCTGTTTCTTAATGCCACTAGGACCACCTTGAGAGTCACTGGAGTCCCCGTCCCCGCAAAATAACTGTCCAGAGAGCTGTTTCTGGCGTCTCTTTAACACTTCCCTAAAATGGTCAAGACTTTGCACTGAACATGTTGCCAACTGGCTTGCAACAGCCTTGTCAGGGTGATTTTTCTCCATAAATCTTTCCATCTTACCCCACATTTCAAAAATCTCCTTAATTTCTGAAGAAGCAACTTCTTCCATCTCTCTTCCACCTCCTCTGCAGCAAGATTCTGAGCTGCGATCTTTTTGCTCTTCCTGCTGAAGCTCTTGCAGCTCCTCAGTGGTGAGCTCTTCGTTTGGTCTTCCCCAACTCTTCCACATCCTCCAAACTCGCATCCAACCCCATGGAATTCCCCAGTGCCACAATAGATTAACAACAGATATAGGCTCATCAGGGTCAGCCCCAAACCCTTCAAAATCCCTCTTGTCCGACACAATCTGGCCACAATTTCTCCAAGCACAGTTCAAAGTCCTGGTAGCCCACTCACTCCCAAGCTGTACCTAAAAGGGGTTTTTATGCAATGGAGGATGCTGAAGTGTTCTCTCCAAAAATCTCTTAGGTCAAGTGAGTGTGAGGTTCACATTCAAGCACCTTTGAAACATTGCTTTGGTGTAGAGTTTTTTAAAGTTTGCAATGACCTGCTGGTCCATGGGCTGGAGGAAGGAGGTATTCGGGGGCAAGAACTTTACTGTGATGATCCCAAACTCCTCCAAAATTAGTAATCCAAGTTTGGAGGATGAGCAGGTGCATTGCCCCTTTTACTAGGAGGCACTTGAGATCCAATTTCTTTTCCAGGAGGTAATTCTTCACACTAGGGCCAAACACTTCATTGAACCACTTGACGAAAATTTCCCTCGTGACCCTGCCTTACCATTAGATTTCCAAAACACACACAATTTACTCTTCAAAAACATTGTTTTTCCTGAACACTCTGGGATTTTTCAGAATGGGACACTAGTAACGGCTTCACTTTGAAATCCCCAAGCATTAGCACAGAACATGAGTGTCAGCCTGTCTTTCATAGGCTTGAGTCCTGGCAGTGCCTTTTCCTCCTGTGTAATGTAGGTCCTCTTTGGGGATTTTCTTCCAAAAGAAAGGCCCCGTTTCGTGACAACTGAACACTTGTTCAGGTTTCAGTCCCTTTAGCCTCTATGTACTCCTTGAATTCATGCACATATTTTTCAGCTGCTTTGTGGTCCGAACTGGCAGCCTCACCATGCCTTACCACACTGTGTATGCCACTATGGTTCTTAAATCTCTCAAACCAACCTTTGCTGGCCTTAAATTCATTAACATCACCACTAGTTGCAGGCAATTTCTTTACCAGATTGTCGTGCAACTGCCTAGCCTTTTCACAAATAATCGACGTCATAATACTATCTCCTGCTAATTGTTTCTCGTTTATCCACACCAATAATTTCTCAACCTCTTCGAGTACTGGTGATCTCATTTTTGTCAGCATATTTACCCCTTTGCAACAACAGTGTCCTTGATTTCCTTTTTCTTATCCACGATGGAAGATATGGTTGTATAGGATTTGTTATACATCCTGGCCAGTTCGGCCACATGTACACCACTTTCATACTGTTCAATGATATTTTTCTTAAATTCAATCGTATTTCTCACTTTCTTTACCAAAGGCTTGGCACTAGGAGCTTTCTTTGGAGCCATGGTAGCTTATTTAGTACTTGCAAGCACTAAAATGAATGGAATACAGTGGACCCCCGGTATACGATGGCATCAGTATACGTTAAATCCGGTATACGATACATTTTAACGCAAAAATTTTGCCTCGCCACTCGTTAAAAAACCCGCCACACGCGATTCGTCCGGGATGCGTCCACATGTGGCCTGAACTGCCCTGTGCGTGCCAGTGTTTACAAGCCATCCAGTGTGCTCGCATCTAAGCATACATTCGGTACATTCCATATTATCACAGTGTTTTTGGTGCTTGTTTCTGCAAAATAAGTCACCATGGGCCCCAAGAAAGCTTCTAGTGCCAACCCTGTGGTAAAAAGGGTGAGAATTAGTATGGAAATTAAGAAAGATTTTGAAGGGTTTGGGGCTAACCCTGAGAAGCCTATGCCAGTTGTGGAATCCATTGTGCCTACTTCAAAAATTAAGGAAATGTGTGCAAAGTGGGTTGAACTGCAAACCTTTATAGATGAAAATCACCCTAACACAGCTATTGCAAGCCATGTTGGTGACTATTACAATGACAATGTTATGGCCCATTTTAGACAAATCTTAAAGGAACGGGAGGTACAGACCTCTACGGACAGATTTGTTGTGCGACAGAGGTCCAGTGACTCTCAAGCTGGTCCTAGTGGCATTAAAAGAAGGGAAGTAACCCCAGAAAAGGACTTGCTACCTCAAGTCCTAATGGAAGGGGATTCCCCTTCTAACATTAACAACTTCGACACTCTCCCCCTCCCCATCCATCAATCATCACCAGATCTTCATTAAAGGTAAGTGTCATGTACTCTATCGTTAGTAGAGTACTACAAACTGTGCATGTCTTCTTCAGTTTGTGTGCATTAAACTTAATATTTCATGTGGTAAAATTTTTTTTTTCATACTTTTGGGTGTCTTGCACGGATTAATTTGATTTCCATTATTTCTTATGGGGAAAATTAATTCGCCTTCCGATAATTCTGGCATACAATGAGCTCTCAGGAACGGATTAATATCGTATACCGGGGTTCCACTGTATTATGAAATATTTCGTATGAGCAAGTGAGGGGACCGTCGCTCACTGATAAACAATGCCACACTGGCTGGGAAGGGAGGCCGCCCCGGCTCTGAGCCTGAGTACGCATCCCAGATGAATTACTATTCGCAAGTCAATCTACGATTAACGAGCCCATGTTTTGACGAAAATATCGCTACGATTTCTGAAAATTACAACTCTCGAGCCCTACGATTATCGAAGGACCACTGTACAGTGGAACCATGAGTTTCAGCCGCTCCAAGTTTTGGCTGTTTTGAGTTTGTCACTTTTTTCAGCTAAATTTTGTCTCGAGTTTCGAACTGTACCTTGAGTTTCGGCCACCGTACCAGACCTGTCCACCTACCCATGCCCACACAAAGCATCCCACGCATGCATTGTGAGTCAGTGTGGCTTTGTTTCTCCTCGAGTGAACATCACCCTGTGCTTTCATCCAAACATTTCACAATAATCCATTGTTTTTTGTGCTTGATGATTGAGTGCGACTGCTACATAATTAACCATGGGCCAAAAGAAACTTCCTAGTGCCAGCCCTTTGGTAAAGAAAGTGAGAAACACGATAGAATTGAAGAAAGAAATTGTAGCAAAGTACAAAAGTGGAGGAGGGAGAGGGAAGAATGTGCCTTCTTCAGTGATTCTACGATATGCACGATACTAAAGCAGCAGAAGTTGATAAAGGCTATAGCGACAGCCAGCGATAAAGTGTAGCATTAACAGTGTAGCAAGTAAATTAAGCAATTAAGCAATAGAAAAAGGACACAAAACTAACTCCTCCAATGTTATTGGAGGTATACAGGGTCACTGACAACACCTCTGCTACCACCACCACTATATGGCTTATGCTGCCAGTGGCTTTGATAACCCAACACCACCACCACAACTACTCGTGATATACGTAATGACATATTTTATTCATACTAGAGTATATCATGTTTCTATGTTATTAATATTGTTTATTGTCATATTAAATCAACTGTGATAGATAAATAAGCCATGGAGTTGATATTAGCGTCATAGTGAAGGAGAATCTTGTCCTGTCTCCAAACAAACTCTCCTCTTCCCTATCTTCCATAAGCCAACAAGAGTCTTCAATAAAGGTATGTAATGTTTATATTTACTTCTCATTTTTTCTATATGTAAAACTATATTTATTCTTTAAAAAATTAATTTTTTTGTAAATATTTTGGGGTGTCTGGAACAGATTAACTGGATTTACATTATTTCTTATGGGAGATATTGCTTTGACTTTCGAACAATTTGAGTTTCAGCAGAGCTTCTGGAATGAATTACGGTGAAAACTCGAGGTTCCACTATATAGTATTCTGCATCAGACACCTGTTACCCCCCACCCACAGGCTTTATAAAGAAAATTTAGGGTTTGCATACATGACATTTCTAGATTAACAAGCAATGACATATACAATGTAAGGTGTAAAAAGCTTCATTATTTTTAATAAATTTTAAAACAATCTGCTTTGTCTTTTTTCTGAGGTGTCAATCCAATTTTTTCCCAAATATATTCACATTACTTAGCATGAAATAACATAAAGCAGCAATTTCAGGAACATGAGCCTCATGTTATGTGAAGTTTCACTATATATGTAGTAATATCAGCTGGAGAGCTCATAGGAAACTGAAGGAAGTATTTGATATTAGAATAAACCATATGACAGAATCTGCTATGAAATACAGTGGACCCCAGCTTACGATATTATTTCATTCCAGAAGTATGTTCAGGTGCCATTAATGAACGAATTTGTTCCCATAAGGAATATTGTGAATTAGATTAGTCCATTTCAGACCACCAAACATACATGTACAACGCACTTACATAAATACACTTACATAATTGGTCGCATTGGGAGCTGATCGTAAAGCGGGGGTCCACTGTATATCTACTGTCTTGAAAATTATTTTGCAGCCCTTAACATTTACTTAAACTTAACAACCATGGTCCATTCTCAAATGTAACCAGAGGGGATTACCACCACTACTACAACTGAATTTAGCTTTTTAAGTTATTCTAGTTTTCATGTTTAGAAGAATGCATTATCTTACCCAAGGGAAGATTGAAAAGAAGCTGAAGGCAATGGCTGCTTGCACGTTGTTGACACCAAATGGAGGTGTCTCAGCATTGCTCCACTGGTTAGTCAAGTAACAGAACCCAATGAAGTACAGGAATGACCAGAAAGCTGAAAATATATTATTTATTGCAGATTGTCTTACACAAAAAAAATTGTGTGAAACTATATTAAAGAAATTAATTACTTATATTGTAAATATAAACATTTATAGTTATTGTATGATTTATTTAAGTTTGTGAAATTGTGGCAACAGCCGACATGTAGTGATTATATTTAAGTTTACAGGGACGCCAGTGTCCAATGTGCCATGTTTCAGTAACCATTAGCTAAAACGTTTCTTTTTTTTTACCCTTCTTACACACTACTTAAATGGCAATTAATACTTTATCTCATGAAGCATGAATAAAGATGCTACAGTTCTGAAAGTATTGTAATTTAAATTGCTATGTCCATGCACTTCTGGCAATACAACTACTGAACAAGTGCTCTCACAGCAGAAACTAAGTAGTTCATGGCTAACAAATAGCAACCTCAGGTCCCCTGATAAAAAACATAACTATGAAAAGCAATACAGATTGGGCTTAATAACTATAGAACAAATAAAAAACAACACATCAGTACTTACCACACTTATAAGGAACAGTATTATGCTAGTAGGTTCACTGAAATAAAAGGTGATACGAAGACGACCAGGTACGCACGTGCATGCATGCACGCACATGCACACACGCACGCAATCAAATCCTGGGTTCTCAGAGATTTACCAACACAGAGATATTGCCCTAACCAAACCCAATGAACCACATATCTAGCCTACTGAAAAAGCCAATACTATAAATAATTTCATCTCTACCATGGGATCATCTCTAGCTAGCACACTCCCAAGTACTGATCACGTTGATGATAAACTCACTAAAAAACAAATCAGGAAATTGAATGCAAGTACCACTACTATTGCTCAAAACAGCAGCTTGTGTGCTTTCACCTATCATTACAATATGGCTCAAATCATTAAAGACCAACATATTCCTAACAATGCTTAATACAGCAGGAGTTACCCAAATGCTCAAAGGAGACCCAAATGATGTAAATAACTATAGACCTATATCTAAACTGCCATTTTTATATAAAAAATCTTTGAAAAATTAATCTGTAAGAGATTATATTCTTTCTAGTGTCACTCAACATAACCCCAGCCAGTTTGGTTTCAGCCCAAATAACAGAACAAATGATGCAATTATAAAAATACTAGACTTTGTTTATGCAGACCTAGAGAATAAATACCTAAGCCTCTTTATAGACCTTAGGAGAGCATTCAATACAGTAGACCACAACATTTTGCACCCTGAACTTGAACATTATATAAATCTAGTCCTACCTTAATAACAGATATCAATACATCTCCATCAATGAAACCTATCAACAGTGTACTTGGCCCACTGCTTATCCTCATATACCTCAATGATCTTCAAAATGGATCTCAACAACTTAGACCAAATCTGAATTCTCTCAATAACACATTTAATGAGGTCATAAAGATATCAACCTCAATGACTACCAACTAACTTATTCTTAACACTGACAGAACCTGCATATTTGGGAAAAAGAGCCACAAATATTTGTTCCATATGTAATTCCTAAATTTGTTTGTATACCTTTAATGTCCTTATATATAAGCAAATAAAAATCATTGCCATTGTAGTCTTAAGTTAGGCTTATTAAGCTTGCCTGGAATGCTCTGCATAACCATGGGCTTTCTGCATGCACAACCATATGTCACCCATCGCTGAACATTGTATCATGTGGAAATAAATCTTTGATTCTGACAGCATGACTCTCAAAATTGTAATACACGACTATAAACAAGCCATGGAATGGGTTGGGTTCAAACCCCACCTGTTACATGATTTGTTTCCTTGACAACAACTTGAAATTCAACACCCACATTCAACGCATAAACAGTATCCAATCAGTTGGCCTCCAATCTAAGATACATTACTATGTACCTCAAACAGCACTACTTGCATTATATTACTCTCTAATCTATCTTTACCTCACCTATGCTATTTGTGCCTGGGAGATCCACTATGGCAAATCACCTAAGGCCAATAATAACAAAATGCACCTGTATGAATGATTACCCAGTCTAGTGCCAGTTTAAACTTAATATATGAACATAAAAATTCACTGATACTGTTGTGCATTACTACATATACAAAACAATCAAATCTAACATCAATCCTGCTCTGAAACTCTTTCTTGATAACTGCAAAAGAACTAACAGGCATAATATCAGACACAAAAATCTCTATGATATTCCCAGTATCAACTCAACATGTGTAAAAACTCAATGTGCATAAAAGGACATAAAACCTGGAACTCTCTGCCTGAAGACTGCAGAGGCTCCCTGTCTGTCAACCATCTTCAAAACTGTTAACACTTAAATTGTCCAAACATAGATCTACGTGTTCACTGCCGGCGCTCTGAATATTTTTAGAAAAAAAAAAAATAGAGGGCAATTTTCTGTGTGTAATAAGACCAAAAAAAAACAAAATTTTTTTAGGGCTTAGAACTTGCTGAGATATAAGGCTGCAAAGTTGCCACTGGATGCTCACCTGACAGCAACATGGAGTCCTGCCGCTTGCAGAAGTGTTACCAAAATACGTTTTTTCTCGTTTTTATTTTAATTTATATAATTTTTATGTTCCGATAATTACAATTGTATTAGCTCTTGTGTTTTTATAGCCAATCTTTGTTCCGACACTAATATTAGGTACTGAAATAGTACACAAATAGTCACACACTGACAGGTGAACATTTTCACCTGCCTTAGTCACATACTATTGTCTAGAAATACAGTGGTCCCTCGCTTTTCGTAGTTCTCGGCAATCGTAAATTTCGCCAATCATAGGGGTATTTTCATATAAACATGGACTCGCTTTTCATAGGTTGACTTGCGAATAGTAGTTCGTCCGGGACGCGTACGCACGGTGTGAGCCGGGGCGGCCTCCCTACCCAGCCAGTCTGGCACTGTTTACCAGTGAGTGAAGGTCCCCTCAAGTGCTCCTACGAAATATTTCATAATATTCCACTCATTTTAGTGCTTCCAATTACTAAATATGCTACCATGGCTCCAAAGAAATCTCTTAGTGCCAAGCCTGTGGTAAAGAAGGTGAGAAATATGTACAGTGACAAGTCTTGGGCCATTTTCGGGAAGTGTTAAAGAGACGCCAGAAACAGAGCTCTCTCCATAATTACTTTGCGAGACAGGACTAGAGTGACTCTCAAGGTGGTCCTAGTGGCATTAAGAAACAGAGAAGAGAAGCAACCCCAGAGAAGCAATTGGTACCTGAGGTGTTGCTGGAAGGGGATTCCCCTTCCAAACTGTAAACAATCCAATCTCTCTCCTCCTCCAGTCTCCCATACACTAAGAAGAATCTCCAATAAAGGTAAGTGTTATGCTGTTAATGTTTCATTCATCATTTCCCATTGTATTGTTTATGTACTATATGTATATTTCATGGAAAATTATTTTTTTTGTTTTAATACTTCTGGGTGTCAGGAACAGATTAATTGTATTTACATTATTTCTTATGGGGAAAATTGATTCACAAATCGTAAATTATGTTTATAGTAACAGCTCCAGGAACGGATTAATTACGAAAAACGAGGGACCACTGTATACCCAAAAGTATTTATAGGTCACAGCAGTGTTTTGAACACACTGGAGTATACATGAAACTCCTTGAAGGACGGTGTAAGACGTGTCACTCCACTGCTAACAGTGCAGCAGAGAAGTGACATCTGATGATCGTGCACTGCTCTATTCAACCTTGGCTTTTTGTTTTCATTGTTACACAAACATGCCTATCTGTCTGTCTGTCTCTGATTATCCCCGTCTCTGCTTATCCCCGTTCCTGTTTATCTCCGTCTCTGCTTATCACTTGGTATCTCTCTCTCTCTCTCTATATCTCTCTCTCTATATATACATCTCTCTCTATATATATCTCTCTCTTTATATATATCTCTCTCTCTCTATATATCTCTCTCTCTCTCTATATATATATATATATCTCTATATCTCTCTCTCTCTATATATATATATATATCTCTCTATATATATCTCTCTCTCTATATATCTCTCTCTATATATATCTGTCTCAATCTATATCTCTGTCTCTCTCTATATCTCTGTCTCTATATATCTCTGTCTCTATATATCTCTCTCTGTCTCTATACATCTCTCTCTGTCTCTATACATCTCTCTCTGTCTCTATACATCTCTCTCTGTCTCTATACATCTCTCTCTGTCTCTATACATCTCTCTCTGTCTCTATACATCTCTCTCTGTCTCTATATATATCTCTGTCTCTATATATATCTCTGTCTCTATATATATCTCTGTCTCTATATATATCTCTGTCTCTATATATATCTCTGTCTCTATATATATCTCTGTCTCTATATATATCTCTGTCTCTATATATATCTCTGTCTCTATATATATCTCTGTCTCTATATATATCTCTGTCTCTAATATATCTCTGTCTCTATATATATCTCTGTCCTTATATATATCTCTGTCTCTATATATATCTCTGTCTCTATATATATCTCTGTCTCTATATATATCTCTGTCTCTATATATATCTCTGTCTCTATATATATCTCTGTCTCTATATATATCTCTGTCTCTATATATATCTCTGTCTCTATATATATCTCTGTCTCTATATATATCTCTGTCTCTATATATATCTCTGTCTCTATATATATATCTCTCTATATATATCTCTCTCTATATATATCTCTGTCTCTATATATGTCTCTATATATATCTCTGTCTCTATATATATCTGTCTCTATATATATCTCTGTCTCTATATATCTGTCTCTATATCTCTGTCTCTATATCTGCATCTGTCTCACAGGTACACATAAGTACAGTTATGGTGTAAATTACTTAGGATAACCCAAAAAAATCCAGACAAAGTGCTATACAGCCTCTCCTCACTTAGCGATGTACTCGTTTACCAATACCTCGGACTTATGACAGGCTCTTTGACCACTACACATGCCTAAATAATGTACACTAGAGCTGATTTT